ACAAAGAATAGATCTAAAAATCAAATTTGAATTGTCGAAAGATTGGGGTCAACTTTCTTAATGGAATGCGCCACAATAATAAGCTATATATATATATATATATATATATATATATATATATATATATATATATATATATATATATATATATATTTCCAATCATATGAAGATTCCCGTATAATAATGGTCGAATGTCAAAGACACATATGGAATCGGATGATTATTAAAAGTATATATTCTTTTATTATTTTAATGATGATGTGGTAGCCACGTCAGCTTTGCTGATGTGGTAGTCGAGCTGATCGAACTTTGATAAAATATATGGAGGTGATATCTTAAGTAGTTTTTTTAATCCATTCGTCAGGATTTTATTGGTTGATAGGTCTTTTTTTTCCCATTATATAATCTGTAATTTGTTGAAGAAATAATACTAAAATATCCTTTTTATTATTTCAAATGTATTGAAATTGAAATAAGTAGTTTATATATTAAATTTAGATGTATGCAAGTACTAACCTAAGCGTATTCCTTCATATTCAATCAAACAAGATGATTATTATTAGCACGATAATGAATAATCCAATACCAATAGAGAAAAATAAATCGAAAAGAAATAAAGAGAAACTTCTTTCTTTTCTTTCGTCCTTTTTTTTCAGAATTTTTTTATCAATATTTTAGATTTTTGAATGTAAATATTGGCTACAAAAGAATTAAAAAAATCTATCTTTTCTTTTTTAGAATTTTCTCCAAATTTTCTGAATTATTATATTACAAATAATGAGTAACTTAAAGAATTATTCACATTTACGTAGTGTCACTTCTACCCTCCACCTCTGTTGGTTCTGGCGACATCGTCCCATGGCTAGCTCCTACTAGATCCATCGTCACCTCCACGTGTGCACGAGCGATACAAGGGTGGTGCAAGGTGAAGGCAACGATGACGGGTTCGACAAGACTAAGAAAAAATTGATTATTTATATAAAAAAAAAGTATTTTATAAAAAAATTTAAAAGTTGAAGTACTTTGCAGAAATTTTTTAAAATTTTAAAATTATTTCTGAAAATTTGCCATCAAAAAAGCTAATGGAGAGAAAGAGATTCGCTCGAAGTGCTCTTGTTAGGTTTCCCTTATTCTTTTATTTCATATAATGTGGCAGGTAATGCGAGAGAGAGAGAGTGCTGTCGTTGGTGGGTGGTGGTGGTGGTATTTCTTCCGTAGTGGGTTGGGTTGTCCAAAGAAGGAACAACTGCGACCTATCTGACATCAGCAAAGTTTCGGTGCATGGTGATGAAGAAGCCTCAGGAATGCACGGCAAGATTGGTTACATGAGCCTCAATGGAGGAGGCTCCTCCTTTTTGTAGGGTCACCATCTCCATCGACCAAGCGCTTTGGTACGAAGCGAAAGAAAGGCTCCAAATCTCTCACTCGGATTATTATTATCAGTCGATTCATGACATAATGAACAATCAGTTACACATCCGATTCACTCGAACTATAATTCATGGCATAATGATTACCAAGCAAACCAAAAGTTCGGCGCTATGAATGGTCGGTCTTGGGTTGAGGATAGGATTAAGCCAATGGTTTCCCAAGATGATCGGAGATGAGATTTGGTGTTGGAGAAGGTTTGGAACCTCCAACATCGGCAAAGACAATGAGACTCGATGAGGGGGAATACGATGTCTGTCCACATCACCAAGTGCAAAGATACGTGCAGTCCCCTTCCTATCGTGCACTATAAAAGCAGCTTTCATATGATAACAACAAGACCTCAATTAGCGACAACACGAGCATTCTTGCAGTGTGAATAATTCTTCTAGCAGATGCAGAAGCAGCATCAGTAGCACAACTAAACACAATAGAACCTTTCGAGTCAAGAGATGCATGAAAGAGTAAGCTCGACAAATAGAGGGTGATGCATGCAGCTCATGCTTAGTGATGGAATTGCAAACTGAATTATCATGAAATCTTAGTGATGGGAGAGACGTGCGTGAATAAAATTTTATGGCGTGTATCTCCACCTTGTGTTTTCATGAAAGATCACATGAAAATGCCTTAGTTGTAGACCATGTATTTTGGAGTTGCACTAAACTTTTGGTAGCCTTTGATGACCTTGTTCACAGCATCAAGAAAGTCCTTCTCTGTGACCGTCTTCCTTCGTGCTCGGATAGCAAACATCCCAGCTTCGGTGCAAACGCTTCTTATATCAGCCCCTAGAGAAATAAACCACATCAACAAACATGCTCCATAAATTTATGACCTATTGAAGTCAAAGCAATGGACATGACACCGTCCATGGAACAGAATTTGCAGCCTCTTAACTGTACATTATAAACCCCTACTAGGACCATTAGCACCAAAACTTTGCAATGTAAAGCTGCACAAAGGTATGATAGATCTCTTGTAACCTAATTAGTAGTGACTAGTTCATACCAGTGGAGTTGGGGCACAGACGAGCAAGGAGCTCAAAGCGAATATCCCTCTCACAATTCATTGTCCTGGTGTGGATCTTAAATATCTGGGTTCGACCCTCCAAATCAGGCAGACCAAACTCAACTTTGCGGTCCAACCGTCCAGGTCGCAGTAGAGCTGGGTCCAAAGTATCAGGTCTGAAAGTTTTTTTTACAGTAGAAATGTATAATGTTGGAGTTAGCTTTCATTTGTGAATTGCAAAGCAAATATAAGGATGCAATTTTTACATTTCAAGTAAGTTTTAACACTACAAATGAAATGTCAATAATACCATATGCTTACAATAAAAAAAAAAAAAGAAGCTGATTTCAAGTAAGTTCTCCAACATAGTCAGCAGTGTAACCAAATCTAAACTGATTCCTGCCTACATGTTTTTAGAGACATGCATATGAACTACCTTGTGTGCTTCTAGATTATTGATCATGTTAACACACGTTTGATGTCATTAAAGCCGGTTAATCTGCATCTAGCCAATGATATTTCATATATTTTTTATCTCTAAGCCCTTAGGAGTTGCAGATCAAATTCAAAGATGTGATATTCAATTGGAACCAACAGTAATATACTACCTTCGCTATTCTTTTTTCTAAAACAAATCAATTTAAACTTATGTCTAGAAGATCAAATAGAAATTTATTTATTGAAATTCAATTAAAGAGAAATATAAAGAAAAAAATTACACATTTTTTATTTGCAAGGTAAAAGCATGATAAAGTGGCTAGAAACACTAAAAAAAATCTATTAGTCATATTAAGGTGATAACAGATATGTATTATGGAGTTGGTACTAGTGAGTATATATTATAGGGCTTGCATTAAGAACTAACTTTAAAAAAGGTTGTACCCCAATGCACAAGGCTCCCGCAATGCGAGGTCTAGGGAGGGTCAATGTAGATAGCCTTAACCTTTAAATATTTAAAGAAGTTGTTTCCATGACACAAACCATGGTCTCCCAGGTCGCAAAAGAGCAACCTTACCATTGTGGCCCGTCCTCAAAATATAGAGATGTACTTGCTAGGAGTCGAACCTTTAAATTTAATGATATTTAGAGACAAGCAACAAACATAAGCTGTGCAGAAAAGAAAGTGAAGAATACCAACAAACATCAATCAAAGAAGCAATTTCTCTTTAGTGATGTTTAGGTAGTTTTAATACTGATTATACAGTCATATGTTAATAATATGTACATCAGTGAGTTCAATAAGCATGCGTAGAAAGCTTGTTCTGTTTAAAAATTTTATGCTTCAATATCTCCAGATAAGTGTACACAAGCAAAAACCATGCAGAAAGAAAGTAGAATAACAAACCTATTTGTGGCCATTAGAACTTTAATGTTTCCTCTTGCATCGAAGCCATCAAGCTGATTAACAATTTCAAGCATGGTACGCTGAACTTCGTTGTCACCACCAACACCATCATCAAACCGAGCTCCACCAATTGCATCTACTTCATCAAAGAACACTATACAGGCCTTCTTTGAGCGAGCCATCTATGACAACAAACAATTTGATTAAATTTGGTACTAAAAAATTAAAAAAAAAAAGAGAGAGAGAACAAAATTCTGGTTGTGATCACTCTCAAAATAAAATAAGAGCATGATATGTCTGGAGTTTAAAAACCTGAAATAGTTCGCGAACCATCCTAGCTCCCTCTCCAACATATTTTTGAACAAGCTCACTTCCAATGACACGAATAAAGCATGCATCTGTTCTATTTGCTACTGCTCTAGCTAGTAGTGTTTTACCAGTTCCTGGAGGACCATAACAGAGAACCCCTTTTGGAGGATCAATACCTAGTTTAACAAATTTCTCTGGATGAAGCATAGGAAGTTCCACGACCTGAAACATAATATGAAAAAAAAAAATGTTAGTATTTATTCATTGTGAAAAGAAAATATGTTCTCGTGGCTTCAACTACTCCACTCAGAAGTATATTACATAGTTACAATGCTTGCCATTGTCTGGAAATTAACTTGTGCACTATGAATGAATTATTAAACTAACAATCCCAAACAAAAGTACTTCAAAAGCAAATTAGCAGCTTGGCCATACTTCGCGCATCTTCTCAATCTGCTCTTTGCATCCACCAACATCATTGTATGTGACATCAGGCTTCTCTTCCACTGTCATCATTGTAACACTTGGATCAATCTTTGGTGGTAACGGTATCTGGATTTGATACTTGTTCCTATCAACTCTGCACCAAGAAATAGGTTTGGCATGAAAATATAATTTCAAATATAATAGGAAAATTACAGTAAACAAGGCAATTGAAGCCCTGTTGCAAGAACCACCATCACAATATAGCTGTATTAATTAATATATCCAAGTATTACTTACCATTTTCTAAATGCACAATGATATGATATACTGGCTTAGAAGGCATACAAAAAAATATGGTAAAAGTATGAAAACATAGTACATATCCTCAGATATTTTTTTAAATCTTATTCAGTGTCTAGGAGTTGGTCTAAGTGGCAAATACCTTGAACCATTCGTTCCACTACGGGATCAGCCTTGGCACTATGATAAGGTTGCTCCTATAATTATTGGGTGTCAAGAGTTCAAATCACATAATCAACCTCTCTGGTTGCAGAAAAGGCTATGTATATGCACCGTATTGGTGGAAGTCTTGTGTATTGAGTCTTTCTTTTTACTTGTAATTCTCGAATAGCTATGTCTATCAACTACTCGTAGAAAAATAAACAAAATAATATTTTATGCAAACGTTTATTTCTACAATATCCTTGCATATTCAATAAACTAAATAACCATTTTTCTTAGGGTCATTTTATCCTCCTAATTGGCACTTCTGGAACAATAAAAACTCTTAGCAATAAATAGCCAAACATTTTGGGAAATTGCATGCACCAAACAAGAATCTGATATTTCATTTCCTTGTTATGACTTAACAATTAAATACCTAATCTGACAGCCAGCTGATGATACAAGATTTGTATGATCTTACTTGAAAAAATTGATAAGTTGCTTTTGCACTTCAAATCTTTAACTGCACAAGCGTAATATGCACTAAGTAAACAATTTCTTACCCAACACGCATCCCTTCTTCAATGTCAGTTGGCGAGACCTTGTCACCCAATCCCACCACAAACTGCACATAAAAATGAAATTATGTGAAACAATCCAAAGATATATCAAGGTAAATATTTGTATCTGACAAGAATGAGAATTATCCAAATCAGGAAAATACCTTGGCTATCTGCTTAACATTTATCACATATTTAGTGTCCTCTGTGTTTGGGCTAATAATCTTGGTACACCTTGCAACCTTCCAAAGAAGCATGTAATTACTTTAGGAACACCATAAGCTAGGGAAAACATAATACAAAACTCAGACAATAGAACAGTATTTAGAAGTGTTTTCCCCCTTCTTTTGTAGCTCAAACATTTTGTTTTTCATTTTGCAAGCTAATGTGGCTTTTGGTGGCAGGAAGCCGATGAGAAGGTTAGCAAATAATCCACTAGCATGTACCAGAAGTTCTGGAATGCAGCAAAGAAGTTTGCTGGTTGCTGCTGCATGTTTTAATCTGGATTTCAGAAGCAAAGTATGTCAGGCTTGGTATTTTGGTGTGTGCTTTTATCCCACTTAAACCATGCATCTGGTAGCCAAATGCTAACTGACCCAAGTCCTTTTGGGCGAGATCCAGATTGTTGTTGGACCTTCGAAAGCTCGCTAATGATTAAACATGGCATCTTGATAGAATTTTCAGGGTTACCGATGCACCATCTTGGTTATTGTGATTGCAAGCTTTTCCTATGGGTGCTTGTGCATGTGTGTATATGTCGCATGCAAAGAGGGGGCTGGAAATTTGACCAAATGTACCTGAAGAGGTTGCTCCTCTTGCATCATTTGCTTGTCAGAGACTAAATCCCACTGGCTTGGTGCAGCCAAACCAGTATCAGACTCCTTGATTCCTGTTATTTAAGTCAGAAAAAAATAACAAACAATGAAATAATCAGGTCCTCCTGCACTTACAGAGACAGCTGCACAAAAGCTTCTTTTATATAAAAAAATTTCATATTTGAACTAATTTGAACCAACACATGCTAAATTGAATTTTACTTGTATCAAAGTGATAATTGTGAAATTATGCTAGGAAAAAGCTAAACCATGCCAAAGAACATGTTCAACGAGCCTAGATTGTCACAAAAAAATACAAACAATCTACACTAAAAAGTGGAGGAATACCAAGAAAAAAGTCAACAGGAAAAATTCACAGTGACAAGTCACTGATAAGCTTACCGTCATAGATTATTGTGCCGATTGAATCCAATACGATACACATATTTGTATCCTTGTCAACAAAGGCCAACACAAATTTGGCCAATTTCTTAATCTTATTGCCAGAAGAAGCAGCGGAATCAACTAAAATTGATTAAATTTGGCCAAAGATATCTGATTTTGACCAATTCTATTTCTCTGGTAAATAGAAAAAAGAAAAAAAGATGGAGCAAAAGAGGCGGAAGGAGGCAGAAGTAGAACAGTAAACACAAGGAGGAAGTAGGAAATGACCACAATCATCACATTTTTGGTTTGCCACACCTTCAAAATGTTTGTCACGCCATTATACACACAAACAAAAGGATGAAATCCGGTCAGGGTTTAGACTACAGATGATTTGGATGCTTAGACTGAGACATGATGCACCAAGGACTCAAGTAATCAGAGCAACTACAGTGTGTGAATACACCATATAGGAGACCAGATATTGCTTGACCGTGATAATTGTAATAAAACCTTTCAAATCCAATCAACTCCCACATTGAACTTTGACTAGGCTGAAAAGATATTATTAATGCTTGGCCAAGAAGTTCAATCGTACACACATTTCATTTCCTTTATGTTATAGTCGCAACCTGGAGTATCCATGATTTTAAGTGTCAGCTTACTTTACGGACATAAGAACACCTAAGCAAAAACCTCACCAAAACACATCTTGAAATATTAATCCAAAACAATCATTTTTAACTTTCGACTTAAAACATGATATTAATAATATTGAGCAAATAAAAATATATAAAATTCCAGGTTTATTGATCAAGCAAAGTCCATATGCAGATTTCCGTTTGAATATACCATCATCTTTTATGATGTTCCCCTCAACAAAAAAACCAAGACCAGAAAGCACAATTAGGAAGGTGACCATCACAAGAACCCAGAGACTTAAATATTATTTTAGAACTCATACCACATAGATCATTGACCTTCTTGGCTAATTCCTTGATTTCCTTCTCAGCCTTCTTAATGCTTGTTGAGTAAGGTCCCAAACCCTGCCATCAAGTATTCAGAATGCATAATGTTGCCAAAACAACAAATTCAGAATGCATAATGTTGCCAAAACAACAACCACCATAATGGAATTTGGCGATCTAAAAGAAAGAGTAACTACAGTTGTCATAGGAACCATGAAACGAAGTTGCAAAATAGAAAAAACAAATTCAAAGTTAAATGGTTAAAAAGAATACAGACAGCAACTTCTAGGGCAGACAGCAAGAAATGTAAGCATAACGAAACCCTAAATCCCTAAATTTACGATATCCAAGAACATGGCCAACTAATTTTGAGTATTTGACAAATATCCCGATCTTCGATTTAATTTTTGGCTCGCTAAGGAAAAACGAGACGAAATTAGGGCATAGAAAAGCAGCTAAAATGAAAACGAGAGACCGGTAACTCGAGAAAAGAAGAGCCATCCATGGATGAGGTGAGAAAGGGAAGGGGGAATAAAGAACAATACGTATGTCTTGAGGAGGGCGATGTCGTCCTCGTCGAGAGGGCGAGGGTTCTTCTCGTTCATCCCGTCCTCAGGTTCCGGAGCCATGGCGATCGCCTCTCTCTCTCTCACGCGCTTTCTTCCCCTAACTCGACTCCTAAGTAAGCGATCGCCCTGATCAAAAAGATAAATATACTTTAAACAGCCTCCCCGCTAGCTCACCTGCCTCGTGAATTGGGAAGTCTTGTGGTGGCCCACATATGTCTAAATGCAACGCTCTCGCGGATTTTTGCTCTATAAAAAAAATTCAAAATGTACCCGGAGACATTACCTTCCTTTAGAATGGAGAAATGTGTGGTGGCCCACTGGGGCTGAGACATACTCGGTCGGGCGACCAAACGATCTCGGGACGGGTAGGAGAGGTCCACGTGCCGGCTGTGGCACGAGGATCGAGTTGAATGGTATAGACAGAAACACTTAGAGCTAATTAACTGAAATAAAAATTAATGATAACGTTAAGAAATCATGAGGCATCTTATATTGTTAATGGTTCTCAGTCTCCTCAATAATGCATGATTGCCTTCTCCATGCGGAAATCGACGATCCAAACGGACTCAATCTTGCGAATAGAGAATAATTATCACACACAAAATTGTTATATTATCTTACTAATTAGTCATCGATGTGACGTTGGCACAGTGAAAAATGTCACGAGTAAAATTTGTTAGGCGCTTTTGTTGCAGTTGTAAAGAGTAAGAATCATTTGCATTCAATCACTTTTGATCCAAACGTGTGATAATTATTCCCTATTCGCAAGATTTAAAGCAAATCATTCTTTGATTGGCATGAAATCCATACTCAGTGCTTACTCGAATAATAGGGTTAAAAAGGTTCATTCAAAATAATTAATATAATGACATATATAATTTTAATTAAAAAAAATTTGAGACATCTATCAATGATAGGAGGAAATATTATCATGGAAGCGATCACCAGTAGTAGCACCAAGCCGTTGTTGCCTAGCAAGGTGTTATACGCACGCAACCTCTCATGTGCTGACGACGAGCTTATGAGCTTTCGGTCCTGACTTACGTGGACGTGCGTCGACCAATTTGACACTAGGCATATAATGGTCTCATGGTCCCTCTTCCTCCTCCCGAGTGTTTTCGTCCCCACCACCTTCCATTTCATCATCTCTTGCGCCCCCACCCACCGCGTTTATGATGTGATGGTCCAGGTCTCTCTCATCTCTACCTCTGACCTTTACATCTCCGCTTTCATTCGTCGCTATGGCCTCCGTCACTTCCTCTTCCTCGACATGCTGGTTAGGGAGAGCGAGCGGGCGCGAGAGGGCTACATGAATCAGCTCAACCACTTCTTCCACTTGCTTTTTGTCTTCGTATGTCATGCTTCGTTAGAGAGATGGCTTACAATGTATGATGGTACTCGTTGGGATTGGATAGGGTGTCGTTTGCAGTGGCAAGCAACATCATGATGGGTGACGTAGTGGCATGTGCCGTGGAACTAGTGAGTTGGATCTACCATATGTTACTCGCCAGCTCCATGGCGTATGCCACCATGGTGTTGCTTGCCACTGCAAACGACACCCGTTCTGATCATGATGAGTACTACCATACTTTATAAGTCACCTTCCCCGCGAAGAGACAGAGGTAGGAGAAGTCGAAGGTAGAGATGAGGGAGAGCTAGACCATCATGTTGTAAGCGCGATGGGTGGAGATGCACGAGAGGATGAAATGGGAGGCGATGATGAAAACGCTTAGGAGAAGAAAGAGGGATCAAGAGACTTACTGTGTGCCTACTGTCAAACTGGTCGATGCAAATCCACATAAGGCAGGACCGGAAGCTCTTAAGCTCATCATCAACATGGGAGAGGCTACATGTGTACGATGCCCTATTAGGCGGTAGCGACTCGATGCTAGACGATGTCTCCTCCCCACCATTAATGATGATTTTAGTTTTTTTTTTAATTTTAATTATATGTATCATTATATTAATGATTTACCATGAGTTAACATTAAGGAATCTAATATATGTTAATGGGAATGACTTATATATTATATTTTTAAAATATAAAAATTATTTTAGACACAAATTAATCATAATGACTTAAAAGGTTTATAACGAAGACCGGTTAAAATAAACCTTAACCTAAGATAATATTCTATCATTAATTAATAGTTATAATAATAAATAATTTATATGACAACTTTCATATGTGTATGATTATTTAAAACTAACTAAACAAATACTTATGGACATGTACTAACTTATCATTGTAGGAGCTTAAGAGAATCGTGTACAAGGAAACATTAAGGAAAGCAGACACAAGGTGGAGAGAAAAATTTTTCCTTCCCAAGTTGTAGATATCTAATGATTCCTCTCTTCCAGAGATAAAGTTAAATTGATAATCAAATTTAACTTTATTAGTGCTAAAAGAAAAAACATGAAGACAATATCACTGAAAACTAAACATAACAAACAAGTGGCGGATGTGTTAGTTAAAAGCCTCCTCTATGGACTTTTCACTACAACGTCTGATTAAACGATTATAAGATGTGTCCGCTTAAGAAAAAATAATAATATTTAAAGCACTTAATGAAACGTTGACATAGGACAAGAAAATAACCAAAGTATACCTTAAATCATTCTTTAATGTAAACCATAATGATCAAAGGTCCTGAAACAAATATTATATTTATTTTAGGATGGATAAACCGAAGCATGATTTATTTAAGGGATGATATGATAATTATTTTCTACACAGAGAATCCAATCACCTATTAGACACCCACGTTAGCTATTGAAAATGATGTAGAGCATATACTTTTTCATCATCGAAACAAAATATTTCCTCATCAGAATGATATTATTATATAACATAATCTTCCTCAACAAATCAAACTAATAGTTAAAGAATGATATTATTATATAAAATGATCTTATCAAATATATGAACATATATTAATTTGATTATCGGATTTCATCGGACAAACCCAATTGCAAACATTTTTCACACTTCCACATTGCAAATTATTAGAATGATATTAATATTATTTTCAAAATATTTAAAAAAAATAAGAAATTAAATAATATATAAATTAAAATGCAAATACTTGGGGGACTTAATTGTAAGAACGGGTTTACATTTGTTTCCCTCGATCGGGGAAAAGGTCAAGAGCGGATCGCGACGGCAACGTTGGACGATGAGCAGCGAGGAGGGCAACCCCATTGGTGACGGAGGCGGCGAAGGAGAAGGCGCCTCTTCGGGAGCGTCGCCGCCGCGGACGGGGGAGAAGCAGAAGGAGAAGGCGAGGGTCAGTCGGACGTCGCTGATCCTGTGGCACGCCCACCAGAACGATGCCGCCGCCGTGCGGAAGCTCCTCGAGGAAGATCGTGGCCTCGTCAACGCCCGCGACTACGATAGCCGTACCCCGCTCCATGTCGCGGCGCTCCACGGCTGGATCAACGTCACCGGGTGCCTCCTCGAGTATGGCGCCGACGTCAATGCCCAGGACCGATGGAACAACACGGTGAGCCACTTGATTGTAGGTGCTGATCGCACCTCGCCCCATGACGCAGTCGGAGTTTGACTGAAACTTGTGTTGGGAGTCATCATCCGTTTCTTCTTCTTGCTATAACTTCACATAATCCTTGTTTTATGATTCTGAGTTTGATCGATTAGGGCGAACGAGTTATCAGACCAATTGTCATTCCAGTGGAAGTCATGGATGAAAGTCTTGATACCCATGTGGTTGAAATCTATGAAGATTGGAACTATCTTGTGTGAAATGTTGTTGACCAGGAAAAAGAGGAAAGAGAAAAAGGTATAAAAAGATGTGGTTAGTAACTGTACGAGATGCAGATGAGGATTATGTGGAGGGGTGTAAGGTGATAGATACTATGTGAAATTATCAAAGAGAGAGGACCATTTGGAGGCTGTGGCCTTTGATTTGGAACTCACTAGTTAACATTGTTCCTAGGGACGGATCTGGAATCGCTTTCAGATTGCATAGGGTTCTGTTGGATGTTCAGCTGTTGTAGACCCTAGACTTTCTGGTTGCTGGGAAAATTGTCTTTCATTGGATATTCTGGTCTCACCGTCTGAGTTGTGCCATTTTGGAATATTGTTCTCATAGCTGGTGCCATTCAGATGTTTGTTTCAGGAGAGACTAGAAGCGTAAGACTTGATCCAAGTATCTAAGATGATAGTTCAGGGAATTATACGTGAAACTAATGTCACCAGAGAATTTTTTATGTTTTATTTTCCACCTGGGAAGGTTCCTTCCAAGAAAAAGTATCATGAAAAGGGTAACTAAATTGGCAAACTACATTTCAGTGACTGGTGGAATTGATAATGGAATATTTGTCACATCAGTATGATAGTATTTACTTTTAAATAGTAATACATGCTAGAGTGCTGCTACATTTATAAATAGTAATTCTTAGTATTTATTTCAATTATTTAAAGATAATTTTGTTGTTTGTTTTTGAAAATTTTGTATTCCAGTGACTATCATTTGATTCATGAAAGATATTGATCCTGAGCTTGCATTTGTTTTGACAGCCATTGGCTGATGCAGAAGGTGCTAAGCAGCATGGCATGATCGAACTGCTAAAAGCACATGGTGGCATGTCCTTTGTACGTTTACTACAATAAATATGTGCTTCTGTTCTTGTACACGGTAGATATACTGAGTAGTTTATCTCAAAACATTAGTCTTGGAAGAATACCAGCTATTTCTTGATTTAATCATCCTAAAGAACATTGGTGACTCTCACTTTTTTCTTTCTAGCAGTTTTGTCTTTTTAGGATTGTGTATACCTTGATATCTTTTAACAATTTGCATGAGTAACGAAATTGTAGTTTCTTCAATGCAATTTTTAGCTTTGTGCAAACGGTTGCTTGTCAAATTTTTAGCTAATTCATAATTGTATAAAGACTGCATTACCTTACTTACTATTCTTGTTTTCCTTTATGCATATTTTGTCAATAACATCAATTTTTCTTGTTTTGTGGTATCTTCTGGGTTTATGTCTGTTCACTGCACCATTTTTTATTATTATAGGCTGGGACATCGACCATAATATCTTGGCAAAACTTTTCTTAAGAGTAAATTCTCTACTTGTTGACTTTTTATA